ACCTGTGGGGCTGACGGTGCCAATTCTTGAAAGGAAGAACACTGGAGGAGCTGTCGATTTGGGTTAGAAAGCAGCGTTTCATTGGGAGGTTTTGTTTGAGCTGCCGATTAACCATCCAAGGAATCCTTGCACATGCAAGCCTGGAGCTCAGGGAAGAGTGGAGCTGGGGAGCTCAAGTCAAGCCATGAGCATATGATTGGAAAGCCAAACGGGATACTGCTCAGCGAGAAAAACAGAGTGAACCGCTGACGCAAGCCCCTGGGTCTCAAATAGTGTCATTCTGAGTATCAGAAGTCAGACCCCAAAACTACCTACGATATGATCCCATCTCTATGATATTCTGGCAACGGCATGGCTCTAGGGACAGATGCTGTGGTTGCCAGGGGCTAGGGCTGGAGTGGGGGGTTTGAACCCAAAGGGGCAGAGAGGAGAGGCGTGGGGGGATGGAAGTACCCTGTATCTTGACTCAGTGGTGGTTACCTGACCATATACAGTTGCCAAGACTTGTAGAACTGTACACTAAAAAGGGTATAAGTTTTAGTGCACGGAAATGATACTTTAATTAAAAAATATATGGAAAAAAAAGCCAAATAGTTAGTTGCATGAGCTCATTTAAGGGAGTGTGTCCGGCAGAGAGGTGTAGGTGAAGGCCTCACTACGGGACACTCCGCTATCCAGGCTGGAAAGAGAAAGGAGCAAAGCATGAGTAAGATGAATGTTGATCTGAGGGAAGGGATAGCTGTTAGCTGCGGTCCTACTAGGTATGTGCTAGGTATGCTGGCACACTCGTCTTATGTAGCCATCTCAATGAGCCTGTGAGGTGGGTTAAATGTAGTTGAGATGTTTTAATTTAATTTAATTTAATTTAATTTATTTATTTTAGCTGAGCCATCCTGCCACCTGTTGGCAGCTCAGCGGCAGCTCAGCGGCAGCTCAGCTCGGGCCCATGTGGGAATCGAACCGGCGACCCGGTTACTTAAGGCTCGCCCTCTTGAGCGAGCTCTTAACTGACTGAACCACTCGGCCGGCCCTGAGATGTTTTTATAAATAAGAAGAAGTGAGTTGCCCTGGGTCCACACAAACCATAACAGTGGCAAAGTGAGGTGATCCACACTGGCTTACCCACACTTTATTCGTTGTTTGTCGATTGAATGAATAAACAAATGAACAAATGAACGAGCTAATGAATATCACTGAGCCCCAGGTGCTGAGGTTTCACCTGCAGGTTCAAGCTGAGGATACGAGAACGTCATCTTTTTAGAGAAGTTGGGGCCATAAAACCTGTTCCATTTTCCTCCTTGTGCAACACCCAGTCCCTCCCCTTCCAGTTCTGAAATTGCTCCCCGGCCTTGGGAAGGGCTCTCCAGGCTTATCTCAGTGGAGAGTGAAACTGTAAAAGCCTTTATGGCTTTGAGATCACGTCTGGCAGGGGCCGCAATTGTCGCCATAAACCTGAGTAGGCCCTGTGAGGGCGATGACCTGGACCACGAGAGTCAGGGGACAGTTGAGCAGTGACAAGGGGTGGCTACTGCTGAGTTGGGTGCTTTGGTGCCTGTGGTCAGGGACCATCACAGACTTACTTCATTTCATCCTCACATAAAGCCCCAGAGACAGCACTGGTTGTGATACTCTAAAAATTCTAAGATGCACTTTTTTTTCACATTATGGTGTCTCTGAAGTTTGGATGTGTCTTTAAATCAATGGCATCCCATAACTGCTGTCAGTTAGATCAGGTGGCGACCTGGTTGGTCCCAGTCGTTCTTTCCGGTGGCCCGACTGGACAACGGCCCTCTCTGTGTATTTCATTACAAATGACTTCAGGATCATTTGAGGGAGGGACCTGAGTCCTGGTTGCTTCCTGAAAACCTTCTGTTGACACCTTCTGATAAGAGGATGAAAGCACCAGGGTCAAAGCTGCAGGATAGGAGTAAGCAGGTTGGAAGAAAATCCCGGAGACCATAGTGGAGTAGTCGCTCAAGAAACATGTGTGAGCAAAGCTTTTCATGGTATAGAGGACAATCTTGCGCGAAAACATATGGACAAGAGAGATTCTGAGTGGAAAAGTAATCTAGATGAGCTGGGTGTTGACCGCGAAGAACTTGTGGGCATTCCTTAACTGATTTATCTCACTTACATTTTCCTTTATCTTTATATGCAAGAGTGACGTGTGATTTTTAAAACAACATCCAAGCAAGCTTTAGGGCTCTTTAATACATACAAAATGAAAATTCTAAGTGCCAGGAAAGCATCGTTTTATAACTGAATTGTCACTATGTTTTCTTTCTTAGTGGGACACAAAATGCTAGTGCCTCTTACAATGGAAGCGTCTTAGGTGAGATTCTACCCATTGCATAGATGGGAAAACTGAGGACACAGAGGGCACAGGGCAAATAAGTGACGGAGGTGGGGTTCTCTCTGACAACAGATCCTGTGCTCTTTCTAATACCCAAGGCTGACTTAGACATTGATACTGGCTCTCTCACCTCCTTCAAAGGGCTTGGGCCAAACAACTCCAGTCTGCCATCCCAGGCAGTTTTAGGAGGCAGAGAGCTGCCCTGTTATTTTAAATTCAAGAAGGAGCGGGTTTGCAAGACGCTTTCAGTCCAGTGAACCAACCATCCCTGTTTCCTATCATTCAAGTCAGCTACCCCAGCCTAGCCAAGCCCACCCCAGCCTGTTCTGTCACGCTCTCCCTAGGACCCTGGTATAGGTGTCCAGTGTGACCCCACTTTAATCACTTGGTCTTGGACCAAGCAGACTGAGCACTCACCTCATTTTATAGATGAGGAAACTGAGACCCAAAGAGGTTGCCTGACTCTCTCAAGGTCACAAGTGAGTCAGTGTCAGGGAAGAGCCTGGAATCCAGGGCTCAAAATCCAGTGCTCTTTGCAACTTCACAGATTTCCTAGATATAGAAGAGGCAAGCTGAGAAGGGAAAGCAAGGGACTCAAAGTGGGTCAAAAGAAAGACCTTTTTGGCAAGAGGGGCTACAGAGTCTTGAACACACGGTCAAGCAATAATGCCATGATCTTTACATGGGTCTTATTAAGACCAACAAGTTCTGGGGTGGCTGTGCTTAGGCGTTGTCTCGCTCAGAAGATGGGGCCAAACTACACCAGACATCTTTCCCATCCCCATCAGATCCTGCCTCTCCCTCTTAAAACCATCCAATGGTTTCCCATCATTCCTAGAACAAAATTCGAACCCCTCCAGGGCCCCGAGGATAACATGGCCTCCGACCACTTCTCTGAGGTCGTTTCCTATCACTCAGCCTCTTGGTCGTTCCATTCCAGCTCCCTTGGCTTCGTCCCTCTTCCTCAACACACCAAAGCTGTTCTCATTTCCCAGCCTTGACCGTGTTGTTCCCTTTTACTGGAACATTCTTTCCCTATCACTTCCCACGGCCACTTCCTTCTAACCATTCAGGTCTCTGCTCAAATGTCGCCTCTTGGAGAGGCCTTCCCTAAACAACTTAGCTAAATATATGAGGCTATATGGTCTCTGTTGCAACTACTTAAACCTGCCATTATAGAGTGAAAGCAGCCATAAGTGAATGAGCATGGTTGAGTTCCAATAAAACTTTATTTACAAAGGTAGGCAGCAGGCCAGTTTTGGCCAATGACTACAGTTTGCTGACCCCAGCTCTAACTTATTGTCCTGTTCGATTTTCTTCATTGGGCTTACAACTCTCTAAAATTATGTTTTTGGTTTTGTTTTGTTTTTTTTCTGTATATCAATTGATTGTTTTTCTCTACCCTTCTCCATTTAGACTGTTAACTTTAAGAACAGGGACTTTATAAGTCTTGTTCAAAACTGCTGTGGTAACCAGCCTCCGAGATGGCCCCCAATAAGCCCACTTCCTGGTGTTTACACCATCATATAGTCCTCTTCCAAACTGCATAGGACTGTCCTGTAAAAGCACTAGAATATTATAGAAATGAAAGAGGGTGACTTCTAAGGCTAGGTTATAAAAGGTGCTGTGGCTTCCATCTTGCCATCTTGGATCACTTGCTCTGAGGAAGCCAGCAGCCATATTATAATGATGCTCAAGCAGACGTGTGGGAAGGTCCACATAGAGAGGAGCTGAGGCCTCCTGCCAACTGCCAGCCATGCGAATAAGCCGTCTTGGAAGTGGATTCTCCAGGCCCAGTCAAGCCATCAGGTGACCATGGCCCTGGCTGACTGTAACCTCATGAGAGTTCCATCTAGCCAAGCCACTCATGAAGACCCACCACACAAAAACTGTAAGATAATAAATGTTTGTTGTCTTAAATCAGGATAATTCGTTATGCAGCCATAGATAAAATACAGTTGGCCATCATAGTGTCTGGTATATAATATGTACTAATAAATATGGGTTAATAAATAAGTTAGGTGCTCAATAAATATAATAGAAGGATACATTATAAAAATAAGTATTTAAAAGACATGAATGTAGTATTTTGCAAAGACTTGTGAAAATCCAAGTTACGTAATATAGAAGGGCACAGTTGAGTCTCGCCTAATCTACTAACAGGACAAGATGCCTGTACAAGAATTCTTTCAACATTGAGATCCTAAGCTTCTGGGATGTTCAGTTTCTGTGTTTCTAGTACTTCCTAAGGTTATGATTATATATGATCCTGAGATTTTAGGTATCTGTTTCACCAAGTCCATGATTCTAAAATGTTGTGATTCTAATGTATTATGATTCATTAATCAACACATATCTTTTTTCAGCAACACTTCTCTGCTGGACACAGTGCCAGGAGCTAGGGATTCAGTAGAGCAAAGATGACCCTGGTTTCTGCCCTCCTGGAGACATGGGGACAGACGCAAGCACGTGGGCATATACGATACACAGTGAGCTCTGCTATGCAGGTAGACACGGGATCTATCAGGGATTGGGGGTGGGGACACCAACCCAGCCTCCTTGGGAGGCTTGGGAGCAGGAATGTTTTCTCAGGGGAGACAGGAAGAGAGAGTATTCCATCCAGAGAAGGGAGTACTGATGTACACTGTGTCCCAAGTGGAGGGAACAGCAAGTGCAAAAAGGTCCAGGGCTAGTGTGGGGGAGGGAGTGCATGACATATGTGGTGAACTACGGTATGAATTGGTGTAAATTTGGGGGCGGGGGGCGATCAGAGAGAGGCAGAGTGGCAAGAGACTATGGCCAGATGACAGAGGACCTAGTAAACCAGGTCAAGGAGTTTGAACTTTATCCTGAGGGCAAAGGGGAGCCAGTGAAGGGTTTTAAGGGAAAGAGTGACAAGGTCTGCTTAAAGGTCGGAAAGATGCCTCTGGCTGCTACATGCAAGTTTGGAAGGAGGGAAGACCAGAGAGAGAAGGCTGGAACAGGACCCCAGGTGAGAGAAGAGGCCTGAATGGATGGGAGATGGACCTGAGCGAGAGAGAGAGGTGTTTCATCCATGGTGTGGTAAACAGATGGGGGTGTGGATGATGCTGGTAATATACAGGTTTGTGAGCCCAGGACTCCTGGACTTCATGATTCTAAGAGTGTCTGATTCTGTGTTCAACACTCCATAATTTTTTATGCAAAATGCCCATCGATATCTTATACCTTAAGATCCCTGACTTCACACTACCCTGCATCCCTACTTTCTGAGCCTGGGATTCCTTGTTTGCAAAGTGGGGATCATTAACACCTTCCCTGTGGAGTAGGCAGGGGAGGCGAGAGCTGGTGTGTGCTCAACACCCACAGAAAGCAGGTGGGCCGTCCGTGGTGGGCACGTGTGCCCTAAGTGCTAGGCACACAGGCATGGTCAGGAAGGACCTGGGTCTTGGGAGGATGAGAGAGGTCAGAATGGAAGAGCAGAGGTAAGGAAGTGCCTGTTCTTGTCTGCTCCTGGTGACCTGGGTTGCTCTGGCCTCTGGGCTTCTGGTGGGGCATCTGGTGCCCAGATTCGGTTGTTGGCTTCCAGACACCAGCAAGTTTATGAGTTGACTGTGAGGTTCCTCATATCTGTAGCCTGCTGGCCCTCCCAGCTCCTTCTTCTGGTCTTAAACTCCCCCAGAGCTGAAGACACCAACTGGGGGTAGCCAGGCAGAACCTGGTATTCCCTGGGCAGGTCCAAGCTAGGCCAAGTGCCACCCAGTTAGTTGGACCCAACCTGCTCCCAACCCAGCCCCTCTTGAGGCCATACGATAGGCAACTGTTCTGGTGGCAGCTCTTTAGAGACAGGAGCCTCACTTGTCTCCCCAAAACAACACGTGGTCTTCAGAACCACAGCCAAGGCCTATGTGTGCTCTTGTGTTACAATTTGCTTCTTGCCAGGGGTTCATCTCTAATTCAGTTCAATCCACAAAACATCAACAGAACAACACAACTGTGGGCACATCCCACAGACCTGGCAGGGACACTCACTTCTTGATTGGAGGAGAAAATGGGAAGCCGAGCAGAAGTGTGCCTAAAACTACACAGTGTTTAGTGAAGGGTTGGGTTTAGAGTCCAAGGCCAGAGCTCCCAGCCCATTTCTTTGCACACAGTAGGGACTCTCCAAATGTCACTCATATTAAGTCAAGTTAGGAGTTCAAGTGACACGTGTCACTGGCGTTTAACTAGCCTTTACTAGCATTTGCATCGATTGTTTCTAGAAGGTGATAAGGGATCGGAGAGGTTAGCTGTGTATCTGGGGCCACCAGGGTGGAATACCTAGTTTTCATTTTATGCCCTTTTGTACCTTTTGAATGTTTTATTTTCACCAAGTGCACATAGAACAGAGTCAATCAATCAAACAAACAATCATAATTAAATAAACAATTAAGTGAGCCAGACATTTCGTAACTCCTTCGTACATGCTGTTCCCTCCGGTTGGAACACCGTTTCCTGGTTTTCTCTATCTGGAAAACTCCTACGCAAGTTATAAGCCTGAACTCAAATGTCCGGTGTCTGGGGCCCGTTGCCACCACCCCGAGATGGTGATTCTCCATTCACCTGCCACCTCCACGTGCCCTTGTCTACCCGGCTCTGTGCCGGCGGAGTCATCCGTGCCTCCTGACTTCCGTTGGATTTCATCAAAAGGAGGAGTCAATGGGAGATTAAGGACAGGATGAGAGAGAAGTGAGATGTTTGTCCCCGTTTTTCCTTAATCTTGGCAGGGGCTGCGTTTCTCCATGGCCTCGACTTCTGTCTTGGCCTCCCTTCCACAGAACCAGTTATGTCTGGGACGGTAGCACTCTTTTCTCTCTCTAACAGCTCCCCACTGTCGTCTCGGGGTGCCTTGAAGTTTCCCATAGCCCACCTACCTCTGTAATTACTGTATCAATTCGCTTCAGCTAAGCCAGTGGTTCCCAGCCTGGGGTAATTTTGCCCCTCAGGGTACATTTGACAATGTCTGGACACATTTTTAGTTGTCATGACTGGCATGGGAATGCACTGGCATCTAGTGGGTAGAGGCCAGGGCTGCTGCTAAACATCCTATGATGCACAGGACAGACCCTACAACAGAGAATTATTTGGTCCCAAATGTCAATGGCCCTGAGATTAAGAAATCCTGACTTAAACTTTTGTGATGCCTGGACCTTGACGGTTCACGCATGGCTAGGGGCTCTAAGTGCCCACTGCCCTCTCCGCACTGTGGTGTGATCTTCTCATTTGCAACCCTACTGTTGGCTTCCTCTTAGTGGCATAGACATGCGAAGGCCCAGTCTTCGCCGTCAATCCATCCACCATGCAGGGGGAGACCCTGGTGAACTGGGCCCCCCGCCAGACTTGAGTCCTTGAAGGCAGGGTCTCTATGTCATTCACCACAGAGTCCCAGTAGTAGGAGGTCAGCAGACATTTGCTGACTGAGCTAAAAAAAAAATCCTTCACCAATGTCTTAAAAACAGGCTGCAGAGAACAGGGGACTAGACTCAGCAGCTCTACAGGACTCAGGGAACCCGAGTGGTTTTCCCTGTGAGTGACGTTCCAAGGAAACCACGATCAGGCAAATATATACAGAGTGAATGAATGACAGTCCCCAGGGATACGGGTGGGTGGGCAGGAGAGAAGGCAAGACAAAGGCATCTCATCTCTCAAATGGGTATCGTAGTAGAACCCACCTCCTAAGACCATGGTGAGAATAAAACTAGTGGAAAGCGTGTAGTGTGTTCCTCAATATCTGGTTTTGTACAAAATAAACAGTAGCCATCAGCTCTCTGGAGGAAGTGATGGAGGAGAAGCATCAAATGGGGGCTGGGGAAACGCTCTGCCACTAACACGGGGCTGCTTTGCACTGTTGTGCCTCGGTTTCCCAACCTGTAAAATGGGAAAATGTGGGCAAGATGAGTGCTTTGCAGCAACTATGTCATAAGAGATGCTTTAGGGGTTCCACATGTGTTGCAAAGATTATTTTCAAAATCAAATCCATAATTTAATAAAAGTGGTGTTAACACTTTCTTTGTGATGAGAATTGAGCTGTCCACTTAGGTTTCTGCATTTTAAAAATGTATATTGTATATTTTAAATTATATAAAAATTTTGAAACACAGATACACACAGACTGTTACCATTTGGAAATATTTCTGTGGCTATAACAGGATTGTATTTGGATATAAAGGAAACCAAATGCTGAGATAATTGGACTCGGAGGCCAGTTTCCCTTCAGGAAGTGTCTGATGGCTCTTTGTTGGATACATGAAATGAATGCATTTGCCAGGTTATGCCCCAATTTGAAACTGTGGCGTTTAATAAAACAGCCTTGTGGGCCGGCCGAGTGGCGCGATGGTTAAGAACTGGCTTGGGACGCCAGAGGGCCCCGGTTCGGATCCCACATATGAGGGCCAGTGACACTGCCCTCTACAGCTAAGATGCTGAACAACAGCTCAACCTGGAGCTGGGCTGCCGTGAGTTGCCGGCTACGGCATAGGCTGCAACCCCTGTGGCAGTGGGTTGCCATGGGCTACCGTGTATAGCCAGCAGGCAGCGTGAGCTGCCAGCAGCCGCAGTGAGCCGCTGTCCAGAAGCCGGTGACTGGTCTGCCCCGCCCGGGAAGAGCGCAATGATGGTGCCAACTTGGGCCAGTGAAGCAACGTCCTCCACAACTAGACTGAAGAACAAAAGGACAGCAACTTGTCTGTTCCCCTTCCCCCAATTCCCCGATAAAAATCTTTAAAAAAAAAAAACCAGCCTTGTTTTTCTCGATGATGGCTTTGTGTAATATCTATGTTGAGAACTGTATCTGCTTTGCTCACTCACCCCTTTCACCCATATTCTTCGGTACTTGAAGTTATAAAGTAACTTTTCTATATCAGGCTCTCATGGGAAAAGGGTTTCGCAGCTAAGAAAATTTGAGAACTTTAAGGTTGAGGTTCAAAAATTCCACCTATCAGAAGCAGGCTCCCAATGGCAGGGCGAATTTGGGGGTGATTCTCCTTTAGGATGGGGGGAGCGCCCATGGCTGGGGGAGGAGGGAGCACATAGAAGTCTGCTGCCACCATTTCTCAGAGGGTGTGTCTCCATTCACAAAGGGCCTTTTCATCCTTTAGTCATCTCTTCAGCAAACACATCCCAAGTGCCCACTCAGTGCCAGGTTACAGGGTGCAACATTAATCTCATAATCACGAAGATGGGCTGCTAACAATGGCCAGGGGTCATGAGAGCACATGGCCAGGGACCCTTCGCTGGTCTCCACCCCGCTTCCCAAACGACCCAAATCGACCCCTTCTCGCCACCCCCACTCCTCCATCCTGGCCCTGGTCTTCACCTCCTCCAGTAACGCTGGTCCAGCCTCAGGGCCTTGGCTCTTGCCGTTCCCCTCTGCCTGGATGCGTCTTCTCCCACATTTTCAAATGGCAGCTATTTCTTGGGGTTCAGGTGCCATCGCAAATGTCACCCACCTTCGAGAAACTGGTAACACAGGGGCCTCTCTGGAGCACTTTTGACTGGGTGATGTTGTATACCACTTGAATTTTGTACCATGTGCATATTCAAATAAATTATGAATTCAAATGGAAGTTTCTCCTTGGAGAGGCCTTTCCAGGAAGCAACCTTCTCCTTGCTTCCTCTTACGGTGCTTTAATGTTCCCTTATGGAGTGCTTAATACAGTGTATCATTGCCTTGGGTTTTTGTTTTGTTTTTTATCCCTTTTTAGTTTATTGTCTGTCTCCCCTTTGTGAGGACAGGGACTTCGCCTGTCTTATCTACCACCTACCACAGTCCTGGCACATAGTAAGTGCTCACTAAATATTTATTGAATAAGTGAAGAAACAAAGGGAGGGAGGGAAAGAAGGGAGTCTGAGATGATAATGGAGGATTAACCAGGCAAAGCTGGGGGTGGGAGGGTTGGGCTTAGTTCCAAGCAGAGCTGGCAGGGTGAGGACCTGAAGAAGGCCAGGCTGATGGGATTAGGGATGAGAGAGCCA